GCTTGTCTTGTTGTATAACTTATGACAGAGAGCAAGTATCATGCGTATGCATTGACAAAATGTCATACTCTCTCCTAAGTTTGAATCAGCTTCTAATATTTAACCCTTTGTACTTTAAATTTCATGAAATATTTTCAAGGGTTCCTTTCTTTTTTTGACATTATCACTTTATCACTCTCCCTGGGACATCTTTTTTGTCACAATTTTCCTCTTTTACATCAATTAGTTGGCCTTTACTGAGTTCCTCTAGCTGCATATCTAGAGTCTCTGGAGTGTCAGCAGTGTCAACATTCCCCCGTTAGCTATTTCTTCTTTAAATTCCATGTATCTTCTTTTTTTTTTTTTTTTCTCACATCCTTAATTAACACTGAGTACCAGGCTGTGTATTTAGCTTTTAATTTAATGTGTTATAATCCAGTAGTATTCCTTTATGATTTCTGACTCATGAATCAATGCCTAGACATAATTTCCCTACTAAAAGATTCTAAAAATGTCTAGAATTTCTTCTAATACTTTTTATGGTTTCATTTTTTTCATATAGAAATAACAAATTCCATCAGAAATTAATCTTGTTTTAAGTTATGTTATAGGTATCTTTTAATTTCCAAATAGATACCAGTTTTTTCAATACATTTAATAAATAATCTATCTTTCCATCTTGATGACTTACATGATACATCAAATGAATATTTATATTTGGATCTATTTCTGGACACTGCACTTTTTCTATTGGTTTGTCTACTTTTCCTTGACTATGCTATTATTTTAATTATTATAACTTTATAATACACTTTAATATCTGGTGAATTAAGGTTTTCTTTTCCATTTTCAGAAGAGAAGAAAATTTATATTTGTACAATATTGAATCATCTCATCCAGGGAGACAATTGGTCTCTTTTTTATTAAAGTTTTATTATGTCCTTGTAAAGTTCTTTTTTCCAATGAAGACTCTTCATATTTCTTGTTGATTTTTTTCTAGACAATTCATAATTTTGATTACAATTGTAAAAGATTTTATATTATTATATTTAGCTAATTATTGTAATTATTGGAAAGATAGATAAAACTATTGATGTTCACATAGTTATTTTCTAAAAGAGCATTTTATATAAATCTTACTCAATATTTTCTTAGTTTTCTAGTCAATCATATACTCTGCAAATATTATTTTTTTTCCACATCTACCACTTATTCCTGTTGTTTTTAGAATCTGATTGCACTGGCTATAGCTTTTGGAAAAATGTAAAATAATGTAAAACCATAAAACTTTCATGTTTTAATGATAATACCACTAATAAAAGCACGATAATGGAATTCTCATTTCAGTAGTGAAAAGAATGATGATTGCAATGGGTTGAATCACATCACACATGTAAAATCTATGACTTTATAATGATAATAAAAGCAACAACAGGAACAGCGATGCCAAATCTTCATTGGTCACCATTAGAGAGTGCTAACCCATTACTCTGAAATTTGAATTTCAAGTATTTATCCTTCTATCCTTATGAGATAATGGACCTAGGAAACAATTATGAATGGATACTAAAGCTTTAGGTAAAATGTTGATGTAAAATCTTGTTTTGGCGGAAATCAGGTTACTAGCACATGAATCCACTGATAAATTTCAGTATTACCATAAGTGAGACAACCAGATATTATGTGTCTCATTAAGTACTATGAAATACTCTTGCCTTAAAAAACATACGAATAATAAAACAAAACTGCCTGGTTCTAATCTAGCCTAAGATGTAACTCCTAGTTTACATAAAATAGGAAAAATAGAGGAATAAAATGAATAACAAAATGAAAAAGGCCAAATCTAGAATGTTGGACATTCAAAGGACAAATAACTTGGTTTCTTCAGCATATCGATGGCATGAACAAAAAAGAGGTTTGATATAGAATAAAAGAAATTTAAGAGACATACAACCAAAGGTAGTATAGATCTTGATTCAAAACCTATTATAAACAGACATCAGTTATAAATAGACAAAACCTATTATAAATTGACAAATAGATAATTAGGGAGATTTGAATATGGACTTCGCATTAAATGATATTAAGAAATAACTATTTAATTTTATTAGCTGTAATAGTAGCTTCTTAGTAATGAAAAAAAACACCTAACAAATAACAAACAAACAAACAAAAACCAAAGTTCCTGTCAGGGATGCATACTGAGATATTTACAGGTAAAATGTAACCACATCTGAGATTTGCTTTAAAATATCTCAAGTTACAAAAAATAGAAAAAATATATAAAAGAGTGGCAAAATATTGTTAATTGTTGAAACTAAATGATGGGTAGATTGAGGTTCATTATACTGTTCTCTCTAGTTTTGCATAATGCATGTGGTGAGTGATTAGATAAAAAAGAAAAGCAGGAAAGAAGTAAGAGATAGTGGAAGAAATAGGTGAGAATCGATGATGCTAAAAGAGTAAAAGAGCAGATATGTAGTAAGGTAACACAGTTAAATAGTAAGTACATAGTTAAGTTAAATGACTTAAAGTACAAGTGATATTCATACAAACTGAGAGGGAATGTTAGAGATTGCCTAGAATTTAGATTTGAGGCAGACTGGAGAAAAGAAGAGTAGGAGAAGGGAGCAACAGCACCCAAATGAGATGCCTAGAAGGGCACTCGTTATCTGGATCACAAATGTTTGGGAACTAGTGTAATAAATCATTTTTTTATGTATGGATTATTTTTCTTTGGTATACCAACTTCTCCCACACTATTGTTTTATGTAAAGCATCCTAATGGGGCTAAGATTATGACCTCTTTCTTATGGCCAAGACAGCAAGAGTTATATCTGGCCATTGTTTATTTATAAAAACTTCTTTTAAAAAACTGCTGCAATTTAAGAGACTTTTTACATGTCTTTACTCTCACTTTATAAATATGAAAATGGAAAAAAAAATTCTCTGAATTTAGTTTTATCCTAGGATGTACAGAGGAGGCTCCAATGAAGACCTGCCTTGTCACATTTAATAGAGCAAGAGCAGAAGCAGTTTGTTACAAGCAGATGGACAGTTAAACACTAAAAAGAATGATAAACTAGAACAAAATTAGATATTGAAATCAATTTCTTTTAGGCTTACCATGAAACTTCAGATTTACACAAACAATTGTATTTGAAGAAGTCAGAAAAAAACGCCATACTAAGATGGGTGCCCGAGAAAACAGAACTTTACACATGCTATAGCCTTTATAGTCACCATTTACTTGGTTGGTCCAAATATTTATAGTTCATTGTTATGACTGCCAAAACTGGCAACCACAAGGATTGTTGTCTCAATTAGGACAGTAAACAGATTGTCTCTTTTTTTAATGAAAAAATCTAAAATGTAATACTTCACAGTTTAACATGTTTATTCATCTAAACGAGCTAAAAAATAATGGTGCGACATCTGTTCGAGAGGCATTGGTACCTCAAATTTTGGCTGCCTACCCACCAATTTGGTTGTTGTTTTAAAAAATGAAGAATAGGAGGGGGTACTGTCATCAAAAAATCTTCTGGCATGTAAAGTATCTTATTTTTCTTGAAATAAGGATCTCATGTCTGTTGCTAGGGATAAAAAAATTTAACACAAGGAGGCACAATGCTGAATACGGCAGCAGCTCAATTGTTTTAAATGAATGTACTGACCCACTATGGATATTTCCACATGGTACAGTTCTTTAAGTGACTCCTCTAGTTCCCTCTGTACTTACCCGTATAGTTAAAACCTGCACAAAACAGGAAGAATGCTTCTGTGGGTACTGAATTCATCTGCTACAGTTTTCACTATGGGTGGCACTGATTCTAGATATGGCGTCAATGGAACAAAGTCTAGCAAACATCATTCTATACAGGCTGCACTGGAGCAATTCTAATAAAAGAAGGCAGTGCTGCTAAGGGAGAAGTGGTAGGAATCTCCCTAGAGAAGCCTCAGGTAAGTGTAAAGAAATCTAATTGTTGGTAAGGAGAAAATAAAAACTTATCTCACATAGTCTCTGGCTCAACAAGCTTATTACATGGATGAAATACATTATAAAACTTTATCGATGAAATATATTAAAATTTAAAGTTTAATTTCTAGAAGTTTACTTCTGAAGCTTATCTAAAGCATAATTCACTCTACTGAATTATCACTGACTATATAATTTTAGAATCTGGAAAATGTAGAGCTTTAGTATTCACATAAAGATAAACATTATAATGAAAATTTAGTTTTATTTTTGTTGGGAGTGAAGATGTATACTAAGTTAAATTCAAAAACACTGAGTTTTTTTTTAACAATACTAAGATAAAAATAGAATATTTGATTTCCTAGAGAAGAGCAATGTTTCTGTTCTACAGCAAATTTAATGCTGATTGTCTTGATCTTAAAGAAAACCAGATGAAACATATATACGTCTCAATACAACCAATGACCATAAATGCTAAATGCTAAGAGCTGATCAATATTGTGATTTTTAAGTTTTATTTATTAAATGCAAACAATTTTTGATCATCTACTACATGCAAAAACTGTGCCAGACTCTGAAACGACTAAAAGAGATTAACTTAAATTTTAACATGCATTTATTAAATATGTGCCGATCACTACACTATTGGAATTTCAGAAATAACTAAGAACATATTCTCAGGATCTTGCAATCATTGGTTGGGGTGGGAGTATTTCTTCTGTCTTTACGAAAAATTGAAAAGATAGAAAATCTTCAAGTTTTTTGCTCCTTTAAAACCACAATAAACCCTATACTGGTACTAAGATAGGCTTTTTGTTCATTTGTTTTAAAAGAAATTCTAGATGAGGTTATATTTTTATAAGATCTCCTCTCTAATGAATTTATATATTCTTTATTGTGCATGCAAAATAAGGACCAGCAACCCTTCAAGCTTCATTCACAGTATTTCATAGGCTGTATGAAAGTCTGCATTATTGAAATTTATTCTGCAGAGTATGTTAACAAATAGATTCTAACATTCTGAAAAGTCATTATAATTTTTCTGTTTTTGTCTTCTGGATTACTCTGAGCAGTGACTTATTGGAGGGGAAAAACGCACACCTAAAATTTGCGTCTGGTGCTAGTCTTAGATTTACGCCAAACACCACCCACTATTCAAAAGTACGGCCTCCTGAAAATGCAGGCCAGATATCACCTCTCTGTTTTCAAAGATTCAAACCACACCTCAATCTTGGATTTCTCTACAGAGGATCGGCTGCTCCCCAGTTAATGTGAGTTTGAAAAATTTGCATTTCACGAAAATAGTGTTGTGTAAATATACATTGTCTCACTTTACTGGCTGTTTATTAAAATCAGAGTTTAGCCTTTGGGATTTAACAATTCTCTGGAGCCATCATAAGTCAATCAGTCATAGAAAGGGACTAGGCATAGACTCAGGGTATCAATAAAACTAGGTAATGAAACTTGCCTATAATTATACTATGTCTAGACTAATACTTAATACTATCAGAAACAACATTTTTTTCTCCAAAAGCACACCTCAAGAGCAGAACACAATAGCAAAGTTTTTTTCAGGGTAATGAGTTTTCAAACATTTCCAAGAGTATAATCATCTATTTCAAATACTGTAAATTCTGTTATATCTCACTTGGATACATATCTAATAAATAATTATTACATATCCTCTCATTTAAATTACCACTGAACTTAGATATAATCTTTATTTGATCTGACTGTTGTTAACACCATATGGGAGGGGAAATAACTAAATGAAAATGGTTCACATAAATGCGATAGGAGTGGGGAAGCAGTATTTCCTGCCATGTGGCACGTCACTCAGGAAAGAAAAAGGCCCATCACATCCAAAATGCCAGCTTGGATACTCCCTTGCCACCCACTTCAAGAACAGACATACCACATGGCATTAAATGCTGCAACCTTTCCTAAAAATGCCACTTGGATTGGTCCACTGTGGCGAGTATATAAGAACTCTTGGTCTGTCTCTTGAGTTTGTGATTTCAAGGGGAAGAATTCAGTAAATAACACTGGCTAAATTTTGCCCTCAGATGTTTGGCATAAATGATCTGTGAGGATATTGGAACTTTTGGCTGTTTTCACACTGATGAAATAAATTATGTTACTTGAAAAAATTCTACAGAACATAATGCTACACAGTCATATTCAACTATTCGCAAAAGTTTCAAGGAATATCTAGGGTATTTATCATTGCTTTCTTCTCTTGGCGAGTATGGAATCAATCTTAACATTTTATTTACTCTTCATAAATACAATGTATGTACCGTAAAACGTTTTGTGCATGTTTCAAACTATTCATTTTCTACATGTTTTTATATAAGGTAGTAGAGCTAACAACTCTGCTGTGGACATATTTTTCCATTTTCTAAGCTTTATGTATTCATGGGTTCTAAAAATATAAAAAAATTCCATTACCAGTAAAAATATTGAATATATTGGTCATTATACTCCCAAAATACAAAATATCTTGAAAAATTATATAAACAGAGAACTACATATGCAAGTAATATGAGATATATTTTTTCTATTATTTATTTTTCACAAAAAAGATCTAATTGATTAACTCTCAAGAGACAAAATGTAATTTTGTAAAACAACTCTGTATTGTTCAGATTTAAGAGACAACCCAAGAAAAATGATTCTGAGTAGATAAGACTTCTGCTATTACTGTTGTGTGAAAAAGATTGCACAATTAAATGACAGATTGTTACATATCTCCCTAACAAGAGGGGCAAACTGATACTGCAAGCAGCCAGCACAACATAATTAAAATAGAATTCCAAGTTTATCTTAATAGAGTAATAAGTTAATTAAAATCAAGATCAACTGAACTTCCTATTTACACCAGTTCAGACAGCCCAAGAGGAAAGGAGCTCTATTTTAGACATATGTGACTCTTTGAGCTTCTGTCATCCAGGTGCCATTTCTGATGGAGCACATGTGCACTGAACAGTTGGCAAAGAAGGAAAAAGATTACTGTAGATGTATGTGCAGATAGTCTCTCTAATGATAGAAAATACGTCTGGAAAGAAAGCAGGGCTTCTTTGTAAAACAAAAAATTTCCCATGACTTTTCGTTCGTTCTTAGGCTTTGTATGTGATTTGGGGATGTTTCTGTAAGTGAGGATATATACTTTTATTCATGACATATATGGAACAAAAATAGATTTAGTAATTTGTAAGTGATGGAGTTATACACATAAATTGGCTAAGACAGCTGAAGAATTTAGGATCTGTTTTCCATTTTATCTAAATGCACCATGAATAGGTTGCCTGTCAAAGTAGAAAGATTTATAAAAGTATCTGGCAGCATACGTTACACTACATTGCTAGGTGAGGTTCTTTTCTTGATACTCTATGCAACTATTTAAAAAGATATTTCTGCAAACTGAAAATACCAGCAGAAAGAATTCAAGATGTTGCTGCTTCAGTTCTTAGGAAAGCATTGGTCCCACGAAGTGCTTTTATAAAATTACTTCCCTTTTCATGCATTGATTGCTGCTCAGCTAATCTTCATCTGGTTCCAGACCAGGGTCAACATCTGTGGACAGTCTGAGATAAAAGCACGCATAAAAAGCCAGTAGGAGGGCCAATATAGCTGCAAGTAAGAGGCCGACTTCCTGAGGAAGAGAGAAAAGAGCAGATTTGAACTTGGTGAAACGAGATTGGTTAATGTTACAGTTTCATCAGATAAAATAACCACAATTCCACAGTCTAGAATGAACAATTTGAAATAATCACATTTTTTTGTTTAACACTTTTTGCCATTAAGAAAAGAAACTTATTTCATACTTGACAATACTCATTATAATGGCAAGTACATCAGTGGGTGAGTCATTTCTATGATTATTTTTATTTAATTTGTTTATGTTTTCCTAATAGTAAATTAACATTTATAATTTTAACATTTTCATAGTTTGGATATCAAAATGTTGGGTGCAAGCAATGTAGTTTGTGCCTACACAGTTGATCTGTTCTCTCTTTGAGTTTAACTTTATTTCTTGCTTCAATAAATCTATTATTCGTTATAGCATTTGGACACAGGTTTTTAAAAAAATTATCATTCCTTTTCTAATGGGAAAAAACTATTATAACCAGTTTCTAGATTATGTCTCTGTAAATATCTTTATTAAATATTATTTTGTTGAAACTCTAATTTTTAAATTCTAAGTTCTATAGTTTACAATGTGGCAGAACAAAACTGAATACTCATGAAGCATGATACAGTATAATTTATCACAATTGTGAAAGATGGTCCTGGATATTTCATTTGATGATTTGATGTAGATTATATTTACCAATTATGTGAAATAATAGCCAAAAACTTTACCACATATATAATGGCAAAAGACATATTATCTCTCAAAAAGTCTTTTTCCATATATCCACACCATGAAGGAACTTTCTCAATACTAATATAGCATGTGGCTAAACAGAAAAAAGAGTGTACAGTGCCAGTTCAGGATCCTAAAGAGCCTAATATTCCCTTCTAATTTTCACTCCTGTATCACACCCCTTCCCCGCATTATTTTATGGAGAAGCAATTTATTTGCATTTACATGAATGTATTTTACATTTGATAAGAATGTAAAATCAATAATTTAAATATGTCATCTAATAAACTTTTAAAGCATTAAAATGAATTTGGTTTATAGTCAACATGGAATTTTTACCTGAATGTTGAAATTACCAATGGACACTTTATATAGATTTTTAGCTTCATAATTACATTTATTTATTTTCCAAACTATGAAATTAAATATTAATAAAAACCATTGAGTTGAAAGACTCAGTGTCAACTATTTTTGTAAGATCTGATTTTTTCAATCTAATATATCAAAGTTGGAACACTTTGGCATCTCAAAAGGGCATGGCAGTATCAGACAGGTTTCATTTATTTTCTTATATCCACAGCTGTGCTCCTAGACCCATCTGGTTACACAGCTACTAATTTTAAGAGGATGTAATAAACAAGTGACACACAACTGCAAACTCCATCTGTTCTGTATAGTGGACAACAAAACTGCTCAACAGCAGTCACCATTCACGTCAGCTTATCGCAAGAATAGCTTTTACTCTTGATTGGTGGCCATGAGTCTCATCTCATTGATAATCACCTCTAATTGCTGCTTTTCAACTCCTTCTTGTCCTCTCAAACACCTCTGTATCATCTTCACTGTACATTTTCAGAATATCCAGAGGCATGAGAAAGCGGTTTAAGGGTAGGAAGCAGAGAACATTCATAGAACACAATTTCAGAGGATCCATTAACTCAATTAAGTCTATTCAATATATGGTACAGGGGGTGGGGCTTAAGAAGTATTGGATAGGGAGGTATAGCAAGTCATTTTATTTCAAAATGTCCCTATCCTGTTGAGGAGATGAGCATTGTGAGGACTGCATGTTGGGAGGGTTAAAACAATGGTAAAATTTGAAAATACTGCTTTCAGGATGCTGGTGACACTAACTATAACTTAGAGACCTGTAGGCATTTATGACTTCCCCCATCCCCTGGCTATTTTTAGTTTTACATCAGAAATAACAAAAAAGAAGAAAAATAACATTTCCAGCTGGCTCATCCCAAGGTTTGTTAACAGGATCTGGTTGACACTCGAATATTTTATTTATGTAACAGATAAATTAAATTTTTGATCCTTATTCTTTTATTATGATTATACCTTTCAAATAAAACTTTTAAATAAATGAGTTAATTAACAAATATAGATTACCTTTTTCCTTCTAAATACTGGGAAACATGAGTCCCTTCTAAACACTAGGAAACATGGATATTTGCATTGTTAAAAAATTTTTAGTGATGTTGTAATTCTTGAAAAATAATCCAATTGAACAGCAACCAAATATTAGCTGTGCAAATATTTTTTAGATGGCACTCATTTCATTACAGGGTCATAAATTATGACATTTTGTTTACATTGGTAATACACAGGAAATAAAAATAGCTTCTCAACAGAAATTAATTCTAGATTTTGACACAGTCACATTCATATCTTATTCTGAATCATTACTGTTCCCTCAAAACATTTTCTATTACTAAACATGCATTTACAAAAAAGCACTAGAAGCGTCTGAGGGTAAAAACCCTATTGTATAATTCTTTATTTCTCCAGTCCATGATTTCTCAATCAATACTGTTGGTTTTATATGGTAATGAAATCTGGAAGTGATTTCTTGTATAAATTCCTCTAAGATGATCATATCTTACTCATCTTTCTTTCCACAAGTTCTGCAACATTGTAATAGCTAGGGCAATTTCTAAATAAATAATGAAAGATTAAGATTTATATAATCTATTTACAAGATATATTAAAATTATGCAACGCTTCGAAAACTTCACAATAGTAATATCCATAATATCATCTCCACAGCAAAACTGAGAACATTCTGTAATTTGTAATCGAGTCACATGAGACAGACTTAGTTGAAGCAGGGCTCTTCAGCCCAATGACAAATACCCAAGGCAAGTCTTCTTTATACAACCCAGTAATGGCTAATTCAAAGAAATATTTTCTCAGTCAGTTAACAATTCATAAATGACTTCTATGTGCTAGGTTCAATATTAAGTGTTTTCATTGTATTATTTAACTCTCCTGACAACACTGTGAGGTAAACGGCGTGACATCCCTTTTACAAACATGCCAGCTTAGACCCAGTTGGATCATGGTGCCAGTAAGAAGCAAGAGGGATGCGATTCCAGGCCTCTATTTTGTGTTCAGTGTTGTCATCGCTGTTATTTTTCTATTCCATGCAGCTATTCATATTTTCTGTAGATTTAACTTATTTTAAGAGCCTAACTATGATTCATTCTAAAGAATAGGTAGTAAAGTGATAAAATATTATAATATTATGGTCATTCTGTATCAACTAGCTAAGAGTCAAACGTGTTTGATGTTCATTAGTCCTGAGTTGCTTCTCTGACATTATCAATATGGATAAAATCACTCACTGGGGAAATTAAATAGCACTAAATGGCAATTGCTGAAAGAAACTTCGTTATTTAAAGTCCTATGCTAAAATGACAAGGCAATCAAAGTTTGACAGGGCAAACTAATTAGTATGCCAGATTTGAGACGTAAAACACCTCCATGGTTCTGATTCTAAAAAGTTTCATATCATTTTAATGGGCTCTTCACATAAATTTTCAAGGAAAGTAAACAATGTTTAAAGTTAAGGTTTTTGTTTTCTACAGGTTTACAAATCAAAATGATATGCTAGCTTATTAAAAAGGAGCTATGTTCTGATAGTTAAAAACTCTCCTGTACATACTTTAAATTATAAATGAAATCTAAGAAAAAATTATTTTCTTATAAAAAGATAAATTCTACATTGTTTTTAAAAAGACAGATAATTGCAGTATAAGGTAGACTTATACTGGGAACATAGTCATTTCCTCAAATTAAAACAATGACAAAAATTATAAGAGCAAATGAAAAAGGATGTGTATAAGAAAGTGGTATATATTTATAAACAAATCGCTGCACTGTTTCTCAAATTCTAATTCATTACATTGTGCCAAAGGGGAGTTTGCTATCCCAATATTTTTCTAAAAAAACCTCCAAAAACAAAAACACTGCATTGTGAAAGATAACAGTAGTGTCATATTGCCTTGGTGGAAAATGACAAACAATGCTTTCACTACAAGAGACAATCATCAGGTAACTAATTGCAAAATAAAAAACTAAGCACTGCTTTTAGAAAGGTCATGTCATGGAAATAATTTTAAAGAAGAATAAAATTTCATATGAAGTTATAAGAAAAGTTCAAAAGATTAATCATCTCTCATTTAAACAAAAAGGCAATTTACTCTTTTTCATTAAAAACTGACACACAGCACTAACTGAGGAGATGGTGTTGTGAAAACATATCGCATCACACGGCAATGCTTGATCAAAATCAGCAATCAGGAGTAAAAAGAAGGCAGTGTTTCGTGATCATAATAGCAAATTCTGGAAGACAACCAAATATATCATCTGGCAGTTCAACAGCTGTTACAGCTTGGTAGTAATACCTTGGCATTTGCTATAAGCTAGAACTTAGAAAAATTGATTTTTCATCTGCCAGATAAAACCCAAAATCTCCTTTTAACATTTTAATATTTAAATAAAATATATGTACTAGTCATTTTGATTTCACACATTTGACAGTAGAGCCGCCAAATTAATTTTTCTATTTATAGTTTAATTCGACTCTAAATACTTGGCAAAGAATTGACATGGGTAATAATGTACGAGTAATTTTGTTGAACTTCATTGTGCTAGCACATTGGATTAATATCTGCTAACATCATTCTCAGTTACATTTATCCCTCTTAAGCATTTAAAACACTGATTTTCTAAAAGAACAAGTTTTGGGATGTCATTAGAATTTCATCATAGAGAGTACTGACAACAATAATAATACACAAAGTAAAATTATATATATTAATGATCTCAGTACATATAATTACAACTAAAATTTAAATAACCATAAAATGAAAGTTACTGAAAATGAGAGAAATTTTTGATTCAAACCACTGAAATGTTTGAACAATATATACAGTAGCTAGAGAAAAAATAAATGCAAATGTAAGTATAACTGGTTATCTTAAGTGACACTGTATTTTATTTTAAGACCCAGTAAAATCTCAGGATAGGAAGGATGTTTCCCATTAAGTAAACTCTATATAAACCTTCATTACTGGCATTTGACTTAGATTTTGAAATGTCATAAAACATTTAGAACTCAACATTTATGCAATCCAGTTTTAGAAAATGAAATGGCATGCACATATCAAATTTTTAAGTTATCAAATACAGGTACCTTTATGCCTATTGCTGTTTTCTTTGCTTCTGCTTTTAATTTGGTTGCTCGTAAAATAGGTTTGGTTTTTTTATAATCCTGTTTACCTAGAAAAAAATAATTTCAGACAATGAGCTATGCTTATATATAATTCAAGTTTAGCAGCCATCTGCAATATCAAAGAATGTTTAAATAGAGTAAAATTGGGACACAAAGTTGCCAAGTAGTTCCCAGTTATGAAACCATAAATTTGTCACCCTAAAGTCAACTTTTCCTCTTCTCTTACTCTTTCATGATGAAGATTTGACAGATAGCTTTGATTTACTGTCAGTGAATATCAAAAAAATAAAAACTTATTTTAGAGAAAACCCTTTCAAAGCATTTGTAAACAAATGGATAAATAAATAAGTATACATAAGATCTCATTAATAGGTAAAGTTAACTTTGTCTTCATAATTGAAGAATAACAGTTCATTATAAATTTATTTTATATGGATACATTAAGTATTCAAATAATCAATTTGAGAAATAGCTTCAAGTTTTCTCTAAATAAGAAGCTAAGGAAGGACCTGTAAATTATTAACTTTTAGTTGCCAAATTCAATAGCAAAATACATATTTAACTTTTGTTTGCTCTTAACAGAGGACAGAATAAATACGGTTAGATAAAAGATGTAGGATAGCTACATTTGGATATTAGTTTCAATCTTCTCTTCCACACTGCACAGCCAAAAATGAACAGAGTTAGTGTCAACAAATTTCCCTTTCTGTGTACCATTTGGTGACCTCACCAATGAGTAACAAAAGAGCTATTATACAGCCCGTAAGAAAATAGATTTAACAACAATAACAACAACAAAAGCATTGACTAAAATGATACACTATTTTGTTAACCAAACTTTTAACTAAGAACTGGGTCAAATATGTCATCCTGACTGGGAGTTAACACATGACCATATAATATCTCTGGCTATTTTACATTCTCCTTATTTTGCCGTGTTGTTTCCATCTTACTCCCTTTCATTTCAAAGATCAGTTCCTTTCCAAAACTTACCCCTAGATTTCTTTTATCTAAATAATACAACTGCTTCTATCTTTAATTTCCACATCTTCCTCACACTAAAATCTGAAAGCAGTTGATCTAGAGTATATCATAAAAATTTAATGTGCAATATATTTCTTAATGTCTGCTAATGATTCAAAAGTAGCTTTAAAGTTCCATATAGATTTCTAGAACTAGAAATGGCAGGGAGAAGGGAGTCAAATGGATGGGAATAATGAAGAAATGCTATATTTGTGTTCATTAGACACATAAAAGCGTTCGTTTGGCTGAAGAGCTATGTATTTTTTTTAAAAGAACGAGTGTACACTATTTCCTTAACCGTTATTGCATACCAGTCATTCTGGAGCATGCAGAAGCTTAATAAACATTATTTGATGATGGGGTTTAATGATTCAGAAATGAGCCAATTGTAAAAGTATAGCAAATGATCTAAATTTAAATTATGGAATGAACAAAATACAAAACATATTACTCTGACCCATTTTAAATTAGTAACATTTAATTTTGCTGAAAAAACCTTGACAAGTGTTCACTCTGATTTCACATCTCAACAAACTATTCATGTCATTATTCCTGCTGAGATATAAACAGTTCAGAACAATGAAAATGGTGACACATCAAATGCCTCTACTCAGGGTTACAAAGCAAGTTTCTAACGATAACCTAAAAAGAAATTTGAAGATTATAGATTTGAGGCCCAAAAGTCATTTCTTGTTTTATCATATATTGTCCTATACTGATCTCTGGGTGCAATGAGGAAAAAATAAACAAATGAAAAAGGATTATCTTAATCCATATGCTTTTTATACACTTATGCAATATTCTGGATAATGTGTGTGTGATAAAACAGATTCAAATATACCTTAAAGAGTCAATGTTCAAGTGAGAATTTATCACTCTACTTCACTTGCCATATAACCACTGGTTAAATAAGGTGTTCTATCTCAACTCCTTTATTCTCTTAGAGAATAATACTTCTAGATTTATATTAAAGTTGATATGAACATTTGAAACTGTGTTTATAATAAATAAATGGTTTTAAAAATTATTGTACACCTGGTACTTCTCCAGCTAGTCCATCTGTCATTAATTTAGCATTCTCTTTGCTGACTATGATATCTAAAAAGTATATATCACAAAACGTGGTTTCAGTCTACTAAGTGAAAACGTTCATAGGGGCATCTGTTAAGTTCTTTATAACTAAAACCAGATCTTTCCATTATACCCCAAGGGGTTTTCAACATTTGAATTTTTTATGGCTTCAAGAAAGATACCTACCCCCACACGATTGTAAAAAATGTAAAATACAGAAGCCCCTGCCTTCTGAGTATTTACACCTAGAAAAAATACATTTATATAAATTAAATTTTATATGTATATGGTTAATTGAACACAATTGAGTCTGATTTTGGTTATATCAATAACGCAATAACCAAAGTAGTCGTTGAGCAATTGCTCCTTACACTTTATATGAGAGAAAACCCGGATAATTCAAGCCTATGAAGCCAATCTGGGGCCTCAGTCATCTAGTTTCTCTATTCTCAAGGACATCATTCATCAAATTTCTGTATTTTCATTTTCTATAACATAGTTTAGATAACAAAAACTTTTTTTCCCCATTTTCACGCTTCCTGATTGACTGGTTTATGCTTTCTCCCTCCAATACAATCCTATCATACTATTTTATTGCATTTTATTTTAAAATTATCATATAGTGAAATCGACTTTTTTCCTTTTGGTATATAGTTCTATGAATTTTTAATGCTTATGTACAGATTCATGTAACTACTATCATAATCAGGACACAGAAGAGTTCTATCATTCCAGAAACTCCCTGTGCTATACTTTTATACCCACCCCTCCTCCCACCCATAATTCCTGGCAACCACTGATTTATGGTCCATTTCTATAGCTTTGTTTTTTCAATAATGTGGCAATAATATGACAATGGCTTCTTTTATTCAGCATAAGGCCTTTAAGTTTCACCCAAGTTGTATGTGTCAGCAGTTCATTCTTCTCTATTGCTGATTAGTATTCCATTATATGAAGGTACCAGAGTTTGTGTATCCATTCACTCATTGAAGTGCATTTGGGTTATGTCCAATTTTGGCAAGTATGAGAAGAACTACTATAAACACAAGTGTACAGGTTTTTATGTGAATACAAGTTTTCATTTATCTAGGGTAGGATTGCTGAGTCATATGGTAAGTATATATTTAACTTTGTAAGAATCTGTCAAACCATTTTTGCATTCCCACTGGCAGTGAATTAGAGTTCTGGTAGCTTTGCATCATCACTTGCATTGGTATTGTTTAACTAGGTTATCTAATTTTTTAGCATATAATTGTTCATAGTATTCCCCTTTATAATTCCCCTTATAATCCATTTTATATCTGTAAGGTCAATAGTAATGTACTCTGTTTCACTACTAACATTAGTAACTTGAGCGATCTCCTTTTTTCTTAGATAGTCTAACTAAAGGTTTTTCAATTTTGTTGATATTTCTAAGTAACAAACTTTTTGTTTTGTTGATTTTTTCTACTGCTGTTTTCTTCTTTATTTCATTAATTTTCACTCTAATTTTTATTATTTCCTTCCTTCAGTTGGCTTTGGGTTTAGTTTGCTCTTCTTTTTCTAATTTGTTTAGGTGGAAAGTTACATTATTGATTTGAAATCTTTCTTCTTTATTAATATAGTGGTTAACAGGTACAAATTTCCATCTAAGTACTGCTTTAGTAGCATCTCATAAATCAGCAAGAAGAAAAAAGTTCTAGACAAAAACACATGTAGACTTCTATTATAATTACCTATGCATTACCTTTACTTGTGTTAATTTATTTTTTTCATTTGTGGATTTGAATCACTGCCTGGTGTACTTTCATTTCAGCCTGTATGACTTCCTTTAGTATTTCTTATAGGGCAGTCATGCTATTGACAAATTATCTGGTTTTGTTCATCCAAGAATATCTTAATTTCTCACTTTTTAAAAGGATAGTTGTGCTGGATATAGAATTCTTGGTTAATAGTCTTTAGTTTTCAGTACATTATATGTAATGAGTTACTTTTCTCTTGCAGCTTTCAAGATTCACTATTTATGTTTGACTGTCAACAGTTTGACTATGATGTGGCCAGGTGTGGATCTCTTTGAGTTTATCCCACTTGCAATTTGTTGAGGTTCTTGGATATATGAATTACAGTTTTTCATCAAATTTGGGAAGTTTTTGGACATTATTTTTTCACATATTCTTTCTGACCCTTTCTCTCCCTCCTCTCATTCTGGAACTATTATTATAAATAGATTGGTATTCTTGGTGTCCTACGGGTCTCTGTGTCTCTGTTCATTTTTTGTCATTTTTCATTCATTCTTTTTTCTTCATGTTCCTCAGACAGAATAATCGCAATTAACCTCTGCTCATGTTGCCTGATTCTTCTGCCAGTTCAAATCTGCTGTGGAGCCCGTTTAGTGAAATTTTTATATTGCTTATGGTATTTTTAACTCAGAATTTCTATTTTTTTAATATACGTAATTTACATTTCTATAATAATATTCTACATTTGGTAAGACATTGTTCTCATACTTCAATTCTTTAGACATGGTTTTCTTTAGTTTTTGAACATATTTAAGATGGCTGACAAAGTCTTTATCCAGTAAGTCCAAGGTCTGAGCTTCCTTAGAGACAGTTTCTATTCTTTTTCTGTGTATGGACCATACTTTGCTGATGCAGTGTGTGTTTCATACTTTTTGTAGAAAACTGGAGATATTTAATATAATGTGGCAACTCTGCAAATCAGATCTCTCCTAGTATTTGCTGTTGCTGCTGTTTGGTTTTCTTTTGTTAGTATTAGTGTTTGTTTGTTTGGTGACTTTTATGGTCTAATTCTGTAAAGTATGTATTCTTTGTCATATCCAGACACTTAGCTTAGTGTTCATCTAATGACTGGACAGATATTTTCTTAAATGCCTTGAATCAATAAGTCTTCCAGCTTTGCTGAGGGGCTATGCATGTGTGTGTGTGTGTGTGTGTGTGTGTTCACGCGCGCGTGT